GTCTTTTTGGCTTTACTGGTGGTTGGTTTTGTTGGGTTTTACAGAGCACCGACACAATCAAATTGCTTCAAATATCTTGTAAATATATTAATCAAGGAAAATTATTAAAACTAAATTCATTCCATGTATATTAAAATTTTAAATTTTCCAAAGAGTAGAATCTAAGAAATTGAGTAGAATAATGTTTATATATGCTAATTAGGTAAAGTAAACATTGTCTAACAAGTTTAAAGTTATGCCTAAATTCCCGAAACATTTTGTCATTGAAAAAATATCTGTATCTTAAAGCTTGTAATTTAGCAAGGAAGCAAAATATTAACTCTATTATTGCTTTAATACAAAAGTAACAAAATCGTGCTTAGTATAAGAAATAAACTGATGTATACCTTGCACGACTTTGTTTGTTGAGGTTTTACGTCACACAGATACAGTAAATGTCATATGGCGACGACATAGCTTTACTGGTGGATTGCCCTTTCGTACGAACGGGTACCTGAGTTGAACACTGACGTTCCGTAAGCTATGTGGAAAGCTTCCTTACATAAAATAAGCCAAAGTCCCTGTCGGCATTCGAACCCACAGCGGTTAGTGGAAGTTGGTTCGAAGTCAACGACCGTGACATTTTGGTTTAATTTACACAACAATTTAAAATTCCTTCATAAATAATTATATATGTAATAACCACGTACATTTGTTTCTAAGTTTAATTTTACGATCATATTAAATCAATTGTTGTTGTTATTTTTTTGTCTTGTAAATAAGTACATGTATATCTATTGGCAATGCAAAACATAACCGCAAAAATGTCTTTACAAGAATTTAAATTTATCAAATAACACATGGAATATCTACTCGTTTCCTCAAATTTCTTAAACCTTAGTACTTAGTTTTGTAAGGCAGTTATGAAAAAAGCATGATAAGTGGGTAGAAAGGATTAATTTCAAGTCTTGGAACTGAGGCTGTATAAAGCGCTTCTAAAAAGCGGACACATTTCTCAAAATCATATGTACTCATAATAATAATTAAGCTAATAAATCGCCAATTGAAATAAAAAATGGAAAATGGGGACATCACTTTAAGTCGTCTATGGAATAACTATTAATAGACCTTTTAACGAAACGATATTTCCATAGAAGCGGAAGGAGCATTTCGCGCATGCGCATTCTGTGAAGGATAAAAAGTAATAACAAAAGAATACATTACATCAGTAATCAATAACTTCATAACATTTTGATGTAATCAGAAAAGCTAACCATTAGTTTAGAATAGTTTATTTAGATAAATAACCGTAAAATGTGTACGGACGTTTTCTAGTTGCATTTTCAAAGCACTAAACTCTCGTGAATACGAAATTAATGGGCTATATCCTCGCTTTCTATTCTCATACATAAGGACTTAAACACAATTTCAAGTTTTGCCACCTGGAAAACAGTAATTAATTTTGAAATGACTTAAAATGATAAGTACTTTAAAAGTAAATTGATATTTATAACAGATATAAGAAAATATGCGGGGCTAATAGTTCAATTATCACAAAGCATATGCATAAGTCCTGTGTTTAAAGTATCATTTGACGACATTTTCATCATTTAGCAGGTTGTTAAAGGTAAAATTCTATTACCCCCTGTATTACATAAGATTACACGATTGGGACTGGTTATGTGGATTGGCCAGGCGGTAAGTATCAAACAGAGGGACACGTGACCGGCTACATGTACTTAACAAAATCATTCAACCGTGACGTTTATGTACCATGGCACAAAATCACGTAAAATTATGATACATGTAATCCTAATTTTAGCGACCTATACTAATCTTATTAATGTGTTCAATGAAAAATGCAAATATTGTGACGTGCATTTACGTATATGTGTTTCAATAAACCGGATAACGTTTGTTATTTCACTACCCATCTGGGAAATGATTTAAACTTCATAAGATTTTGTAAAATTATTTGACTATAAATGTTTCTGTTGGGCTTCGCAGTCAAATCGGGAGAAAGATAAAATCTGGTGAACTGAAAACTTAATAGATTCATGATCCCGTGAATTATTTTTCAAAATAATAATGAACCTCAATTTTATTTGTTATATTAATCTTTTGATTTTTACGATGAACGATTTCGACAACAATACAGTTGACCCCTTTTCTTGCTAATGAAATTTATTTCCACATTTGTCAAAACAATAATCTCAATATGTTAAGTTCGTGATCGCAAGTGGGGATTCTTAAAAAATCTACTTTTCCATGTCTTTTTATGGCAATATTTGCCTCAAAGCTATCCGCAGCTTTTGTGTATTTGTACAAGTTTTTTTTTATATAATTTATACATTTTACTTCAACTACCTCGGAAATGTTTATGAACTTTCTATTACCTTTCTATGAAGGGCGATGCTATTTTGCCCTACGCAGATTGCACATGCGCGAGACAATACTACATCCAGTCGATTTTTCATAGCAACGGACCGCGTCGTAAAAAGGTCTATAGAAGAGTTGCTCAAAAAGCAGCGGATAAGTTTTAATTTTTCGAAGATATATAAATGCATTCTTTTTATCATTTCAAATTTTAAATAAAAACAAGATATGTTTGTAAAACATGTATGCCCCCTATCAGCAGCCAATTAGTCATGTGAAAAGGTTATTATGCATGACTTCTGACCCAGTGATCAAACAATTAATAAGGGTTATCAAGTATCTACTGGTCATGACCTTAACCTTTGACCCCTTGACCCAAAACTCAATAGGGGTCATCTGCTGGTCACGACCAATCATCATACAAAGTTTGAAGTTCCTAGGCCTAAGCGTTTTTAGTTAATTGATCGGAAACCGTTTTAACATACAAGGTCAATGTGACCTTGACCTTTGACCCCTTGACCCCAAAATCAATAGGTCATCTGCTGGTCATGACCAATCACCATACCATGTTTGAAGTTCCTAGGCCAAAGGGTTCTTAAGTTATTGATTTGAAAGCATTTTTACCTACAAGGTCAATGTGACCTTGCCCTTTGACCCCTTAACCCCAATATCAATAGGGGTCATCTACTGGTCATGACCAATCACCATACCAAGTTTGAAGTTCCTAGGCCTAAGGGTTCTTTAGTTATTGATCGGAAACCGTTTTAACCTAAGAGGTAAATGTGACCTTGACCTTTGACCCCTTGACCCCAAAATGAATAGGGGTCATCTACTGATCATGACCAATCACCATATCAAGTTTGAAGTCCCTAGGCCTAAGGGTTCTTTTGTTATTGATCGGAAACCGTTTTTACCTACAAAGTCAATGTGACCTTGACCTTTGACCCCTTAACCCCAAAATCAATAGGGGTCATCTGCTGGTCATGACCAATCACCATACCAAGTTTGAAGTTCCTAGGCCTAAGGGTTCTTTCGTTATTGATCGGAAATCGTTTTTACCTACAAGGTCAATGTGACCTTGACCTTTGACCCCTTAAACCCAAAATCAATAAGGGTCATCTGCTGGTCATGAACAATCACCATACCAAGTTTGAAGTTCCTAGGCCTAAGGGTTCTTTTGTTAATGATCAGAAACCGTTTTTACCCAAGAGGTCAATGTGACCTTGACCTTTGACCCCTTGACCCCAAAATCAATAGGGGTCATCTACTGATCATGACCAATCACCATACCAAGTTTGAAGTTCCTAGGCCTTAAAGTTCTTTAGTTATTGATCAGAAACCGTTATTGCTTACAAGGTCAATGTGACCTTGACCTTTGACCCCTTGACCCCAAAATCAATAGGGGTCATCTACTGATCATGACCAATCACCATATCAAGTTTGAAGTTCCTAGGCCTTAAAGTTCTTTAGTTATTGATTGGAAACCGTTTTTGCTTACAAGGTCAATGTGACCTTGACCTTTGACCCCTTGACCCCAAAATCAATAGGGATCATCTACTGATCATGACCAATCACCATACCAAGTTTGAAGTTCCTAGGCCTTAAGGTTCTTTAGTTATTGATCGGAAACCGTTTTTGCTTACAAGGTCAATGTGACCTTGACCTTTGACCCCTTGACCCCAAAATCAATAGGGGTCATCTACTGGTCATGACCAATCACCATACCAAGTTTGAAGTTCCTAGGCCTAAGGGTTCTTTAGTTATCACTCGGAAACCATTTGGTCTACGGACCGACGGACCAACGGACCGACAAGTGCAAAGCAATATACCCCCTTTTCTTCGAAATGGGGGCATAATAAATGTAACATGTAATTTTGTTTTGAATGTGACCCGCAAGCTGGCTGGTTTTGACAGTTGGGAGGTACATGTACCAGCAGACGCAAATGAAGCGAATATGACATGCATGCACCTGGAGGTAATGTTTTTGTGTATTCATTTAAGTAAAGATGAACCTCAATGCTTTTAGACTGACTGAAACGCAAACAAATTGGACAAATTGGTAACTGTCTACTTTGGAAGATGGTATAAATTTTACGAATAGATGTAGAGTTTTTTATACTAGCAGACGAATCGCTAGTTTAAACGTCTGTGTCACTTGAGAATCTGTCGGTCCGTGCTCTATACTGCCATCAAGTGGAGATGCAAGTGATAGGATGAATGATTTGGGTTTTGTCCGAAAAATGGCCATGTTTGCGAAATTTCGTCGACATTATATAGAGAAAGAAAAAAATGCGGCACCGCAAAAAGCCAATGACTTCCGGCAATCTGGAGACTACGTTACTTGGACTGGTTCCAAAGCCATTCTATTGCAGTAATGATGGACCTCTATATTGCATGGGACAAAGTGAAACCAATTAGGACTAATTGGCAAGTCACGATGGGTTTTTAAAATGGTATATTTTTTTACGAATATACGAAAAAGGCAATGCATATTCCAGAAGGTGTTTCCCATTTTACTACATTGCCAGAGAGTCATAAATAAACAATTTGCGTAATTTTTACTAAAAAAATGTAAACTAATATCATTTATAAATAATTATTAAATATAAATCTGTATATATGAATTGATAAAAACAAATACAAGGTGACATTGAAATTCCTTTTATTTGTAAGGATATGGTTATCACAGATGGTTATTCTATATAAAGATTGAACGAATGACTGAATAAATTATATTTTTACAAATAAAAACAGTTGATATTAACTTATAAAAGCACTACATTAACAGTACATGGCATTTGTATACAAATAATCAAGTTATATGCTACATGTATATAAAATTATAATCTATGGCTGAAAATTCATATAATAAAAGTTTGACATTTTCATCAAATCAAGGTATGAAATATGTCATAAAATCAAAGATAGAAACATGGTTATTATACAGTATTTATCTACATGTAGGTAACTCTTATAATCTAAGAATTAAAACGTTTGTAAGTTCATTGACTAAAACATAAATATTCATATAATCTTAATCATTACTTCAGATGTCCCTCAGTGCATTTTTTCTTCAGCAATATGCTGGCACTATAATAGAACCACCGACTTTCCATAATAAATTTCTTATTCTTTGCTTAATCATGCAATAATGTACTAAAGTGAACATTCTGTTTAATAGTGTTAGAATGAAAGAAAACGTTTACTTAATCTACTATGTTTTCTTCAACAAATAACAAAATAAACATAAACATTGACTCCTTATTGAAGACAAAACAATCATATAGGTGTCACCTATGGAAGCTTTCCAATCATACAAAGCAAACAGTAACACCTATGGAAGATGCATGATGATCTGGCAAAGTAAACATGGACATACTCTGAGTAAAAATGTGAGAAAAAAAATCTATATTTAATACCATTAAGCTTGATCCAATTAAATGAATTGTCCAAAAATATAAGTTAAGTAAGACATCTCTTGAAATAAAATCAGTGTATGTGGATACAAAGAAAGCAAGAGGGGAGGAGCAATGGGCAACTACATGCCCTACTGGGAAATTTTTAGCATTGTAAATTAGCGTTTAAAATATGTATTTAATATACATACTATGTTTCAACATATCCATATAATTTACCAGAATTCCACTAGTCTCTCAAATTGATATATGAAATACACAGAAAAACTTCTTCCTTAATACTAACTGACAAACATATATATACATTTCTTACATTAGAATTATTCTTTACAAATCAAATGTCTTTCTAGAGGAGACGTAAAGCTTTCATTTTAAGCATTAAAGACATATGTTTTTTATCATAAATATAATAACTTTACATGTTCATATCTTATTAAGATTGAATATATCTACTTAAGCTCCATTGTGAAACGAGTTACTACAACTGATATCAATCATGACACAGTTCATATCATGGTACTATAACTAGTAATGGTGTCAAAAGAGAAAACATGTGAGTGTGCCTTAAGTCGGTATACTCCAGACACATACACCCTTTATAAGTTTATGGCACCTACTACTTTTGTCCATAGCCTTCATATTCTTGTGCAAAAATAATTCACTTATAATCTCTTTCAAAGAAAAGAAAACAGATTTTTTTAACAAAATATCATTCATGTTATCACAGACAATATTCTATAGTAATAATAGTAAGTTTAATATCTTATCTTTGTAAAAGATGGTATAACAGCAAATAACCAGAATAAACAAAATAGTTCATGCTATATATTCAATAAAACACTCAAAATAAATGCAATATTTAACAAAAAGTGTCCGCATTCTAGCATATTGAAAGATATTATTCTTAAAAAATCCCAAGCAATCCAATTATTTGAACCTGTATTTGCCATTGAAAACTTTTACTCTAAATATGTTATGACAATTCTTTTGTTAAAGGGATTTAATTCAGTTTACAAAAATAAATTAGACAAAACTAGCAAAGGAATATGGAAGTTAGATTATTCAATTGTAAGGGTCATTTTCATGTGTATAAAAATGTTTGACAATTCACCTAAATCAACTGTTTATATTGATTTTTTTTATATTTTGTCAATTATTTAATAACAGATATTGATCCCCAAAATGGCTGCCGCTTTAAGCAAGAGAGGTAAATATTGTTAAAATTGGGAACTATCTATACAGTTAACTCAGGTCTGCCATAATCAACATTCAAGTTTAAAAAATAAAAATTTACATTCAGAAATTTTCATGAGTAATATAACATGTGCAAAATAATAGGCATCACATCTGCAATGCACCAACAGTTTTTAGGAAATAAATACAAGTTTTGTAAATGTTATGATATTGCACGAATTTCTTAAAGCCAATAGTGATAACAAAAAAAATCATATAATTTAATGTAATAAATATTGATATATATATACTATAACATATCATAAGCAAAGGATTAATTTCTCTCTGGTAATACAGAACACAGGAAGTTTATTTTTTCATATTATATTTACATGTCTGCCTGCTTAGCCCAATATGGAAAGCATCATGTTAGTAATCTTGGGGTCACTGGTTCAATCCTCGGACAAGGCATAACTTCTCCGTGCCAACTGATGTCGGACATTAAATCTAATGGTCACTTGCTGAATTAGCAGATATTATGTGGCATTAACATTTCATTAACTGTCACTTGCACTGAAATTGGAAATTACTGTTTAGTATCTAGGTAAGTTATTTAAGTGGATAAACCGCAAATACATGACTTTTCTTTTCAGGTTGGTAGATAGGTAAATTATTCTTTTTTCTGTCAAACACATCTACATATTTTAAATTATAATCAAAATAGATGTATTACAATCTTCAGAAAAAAGACATATTTTCTAAATTCTTTAAAACAGTATTCTATTATTAAAATGGATGCATATTTTAACATGTACATAAGTTTTAACTGTTTCATTTTCTATACTTTCTGTTGTTGTTTTTAAGTAGGTATTTCAAGCAATTTTACAAAGAAACAATTTTTAAACCAATTTACAAATAAACCTATTTTTAAACAGATATTTCCAGCAATTTTACAAAGAAACACAGGAAAAATATTTTTTGACCAGATTTTGAAATTAGTCAACAACAGGGCATGAGCTCAGTCATTTCACATTAGACACCACAATATTTAATTTAAGTCCTATTGTCCTAATACCTAGGTATTTTATAATTGTGGTACAGACAAAATAATAAAAAAAAATGAACAAAATGTTCCCATTAAAACTAAAAAGCTACATGAAGATCTGTGTTTCTGTGATAAAATGTATAATTAAAACCACACTCAACTATCTGCTCCAAGTGTATTTAAATATTGATACATGATTTTAATTGTCATACAAAAGAAAATAATGTACAGATGATTTTTTATGAGTAACGCATTTTCTGAATGTACAATGATATGATATTTTAATTAATCTGATTTCATTTGGTTCTCTGATTTATCAATACGATATAGTGATTAAAAAATGTACTAAAAATTATTTGTACACCTCATGAATGCTCCCTGATGCTAAAGACATAGTCTTTCTAAGTAGAATACATTTTTTTTTCAGGTAAACACCTTCAATGGTTACAATATTAAACTTTGATATGAAGTAACATATAAAACTGTATAAAAGTGGTACCATGACACCAGTAAGAAGAAAAGCCCTACTATTCTTAAAATATTCAAAACAGAAAGTCTTCCATTAGCCTAAATAGTGAACTTGACCCTATGACCTTCAAACCCCTAAAGGGTAAAAGTTCAATACAGGTGCATGCATAACAACAACATGTATCCAGTGACAATGACTGAAATCTCCATTAGAAATTATATATACACATACATGGTTAAAGGACAAACAGGTAACTGTAAGCTCCCCTGAACATTTGGGAAGAATAAATGTGCTTTATTGCTGCATGGTTGATATGGTTTTGACTTTGTGATAACTTCTAAATTTGCCTGCAATATTTATACTTAACATTCATATCAAACAATTGTAGTGTTATATGGCACTAAATAATTTTTCAACTAAAATAACAACTTGGAAGAGCCCCTCATAGTCATCTTACATATAATTTAAAGCTGCAAGCCTCCAGATGAACCAAATATTTCAAGAAAATGAAACTTGGGAAAATGTACTAAGATGTTGAGAAAAGTAAAAGATTCAAGATTTAAGTAATAATTTACAAGTTATATGCGATTAATAACTGACTATCTAGTATTTATCATCATAATTCTATTGCACGACTTATACAGTATAAATGTATGTGCTAATTTTGCTATTTAGACCTCAGTTTGGTAATTTACAGATATTGGAAGTGCAGTTTGCAATGTGTAAATTACTTTCTTTTTTCATTTCACATATTTCACTTTTAAAATACATTTTCAATTTTTTTTATGAAAATGAGAATCTGGAGGCATGCTGCTTTTATACTAAAACATTCTAGCTCGAATATCCTTTAACGCTTTTAACAAATCTTCTCTTAAAAGCTAAAATCTATATTAAAAAAGACAATGTACTGCTGATTCGAGCTACTGGTCTTATTAATACATTTGGTGACCAGTCTTTGAATCCTATCATGCCATTGGTCAATTATAAATTCAAAATTTAAATCATCCAATCACAATTTTGCATTTTCTGACTGGTTTACAAATAGTTAAAATGTTACAATGCATTTGTGTCTGTGATTTGTAGTTTCTCCAGTTTATACCATTGTGATACTGTATTGGTAAAGTCAATGTCTCTAAGTCTGACATACACTGCCCCAAGAAAGGGGTTTTCCCTTAGCACATCATGGTCCCAGATTGTAACTTGTAACAGCTTTTGTCTTAACACGTCTTGTGATAGTTTGTACTCAATCTGCATAAGGGAAACAAAGTTATATTCATTTCTTAATTAATTATTACTAAGCATCAGTTGCAATAGTATTTTGATTCTAAAAATGTGATCAATTGCTTCACATATGCCTGAGGATTCTGTACAACTAACTTCACATATTTTCATGGATTCGAAACAAATGGATTCATATGTGTTCATGGATTCAGTACAAATTCATTCACATATGTCATGGATTTTAAATTGCTTCAAATGTTCAACAAACTTCAAAACTTCAACACAAAAGTTGCTTACATCATCTTTGGAGGACTAATGGCTTCCGATGTATATTTTAAGCAAATTAAAATAGAAAACCGGTGCCCTTTCAAGAACTTGATTCTACAACTCTAGATGGTTAGCTGCCTTTTTGAAAGAAATGCAAATGTTGCCAGATATTTTAACATTATCTACACTTCAAGATAATATTACAGACTCAACCGATGTTTGATCACAAGAGATACAAGGTCAAATGATATAAGACAAACTTAAGGATTATTTCTGAGAATGTTCCATTTGATTTATTTATAATAAATTGAATGACTAAAGCATTATTTTCACCAGGATATTGAAGTGTGACCCTGTATGCACTGATTAGAAACTTTGAAGCAGAAAATCGATATTAAGCCAGCCCAAAAATTCAGATCTGCCTTACTAAATTTTCACGTTGTTTTGTACAGTGAAATTAACAAGCTATTAAATAAATGAAAGAATAATTTGACTTACATTATGCACATACCCTGCTGGCGGGGACTGAATTTACTAATACAACCAGTGTAGACCAAGATCAGCCAGCACATTAGTGCAATCTCATTATGGCCTACCCTGTTCACCATTCATTCAGTACATACTACAGGATTTTCTCTAAAATCATGAATGATTGTGTCCAAATTGAAAGATGGATAAGTCCATTTAAGATATTTAGCATGGTAAGGCTTAAAGATTAAAACAATGAAATTATCAAATAATTGAAATTTTATTCTAACCACTTCATTGTAGGTTGGATGGGTTGAATCTTTTAAA